TGGTCATTAATGGTGAGTCATGCATCCCAACATTAACTAAGCAGATGTGATGTTTCCACAAATGAAACCTGGACGTGGCCCCGAGGAAGGTGTGACAGCCAAGGTGAAAGAGAGCTCCCAAGGTCCATGAACGTGATTGGCTACTGTGGGACTATGGCTTCGAGAGGACCATGCCCGCGTTGCCCCCAACGCATTCCTACTTGGGGTCGTTTTTTCCTTTTCTAGACTCTTCCTCGAAACCTTTGTCGAGGTGCCCAATAGAGGAAATTCACATAGTTTCTGTCCTTCAAGCACCAATCCACATGTCTCATCATCCCATATACAAATCCAGACCAATAACCCTAGTTACCTTAGGAGTCTCTCCGGATCTCAGTCAAGCACATCCCAATGGGCAGTAAGCCATACATTGGGAGGCCTGCTCGAGTAGACTAAACCTTTGAGACTTTGCCTAAGGCTGAGGTTGACAATCATGCTTATCTGCCCCTATCGCTCAATTCTCTCTTGAGGAGGGCCATACTCCCTTGCCCCGAAGTGGAAACACCTTTTAATCTAGTGGGCCAGTTGAGCAACGGTTGAGGATACCATTCCCGCAGCAGGGGAGGCGAGTCTCGCCGAGGTTGCCCCATACTTCTGCGATTCCACTTTTGTCCACCCTTAGTGAAGGGTTCACTTTTCCACTTCCAATGCGATGGGGATGTATGTTGCCCTGTTGCGATGTTGTGCCTGAGAGCGTCATGCCAAGGGGGCGTCACAGCCAAGGGGCATCGCACCGAGGGGGGTCACAGCCAGGGGCTTCGCACCTTAGGTGTGGCGCACGAGTGTCGTGCCTTGGGTGTCATGCATGACATTATTATCTACATTAGTCCACTTGACGTTGGTAGGGCTTTGCGCCCAAGTGGTCGTGGTCCGGGCGTCGCACCTTAGGTGTCTTGCCTTGGGCATGACATTATTATCTACACCAGTCCAGTTGATGCTATCAGGATGTCACGCCCTGGGATGCCGCACTTGTCATTGTTATTTATACCAGTACAACTGAACTCTGTCGGGCCCTATTTCCATGTCAACTGATAATTTCGTTGTTACTTGTCCTGTTATGGTGGAAAGACGTGTCTTGAAGTTTTTCGAGTATTATAATTCTTATGTGTTTAAATCTTTAAATTACTCTTAACATCTTTTTTAATTCTATATTTTCTATGCATAAATATCAATATCTATAAAAAAAATTAATTGACTATTTTACCCTTAAAAATTATATGCATTATTATAATTTTGCAATAAAATGTTCAAAAAAATTTCATCAATCTAATATTACTCATTTCAAATATAAAGATAACATTATGTCTACATATGTATATTTTTTATCCAAAATTTTAACCATTTCATTTTTAAGGTAAAAAATAACATTTCATATAGTTTTATTTTAAATAAATTTTAAATACCGCACTATCTATCCATAGTTAAATATCTAAATTATCATCATATCTTTATGTGTTTTGTAAGCGGACAAAATTCCTTCTAGCCTTGGTGAGTAGTATTATTTTCTCACGAGTCAAAATTCTTGCAAAACGAACAAACTGTATAAGATCGAAGTGCTTCGATCGAAGACACTCCGATACTTAAGTTAGTAGATGAAAATGAAAAAGGAATTGTGTTTTGGAAGGATTCAACAAACCTTTACTATTCGTTCTTGCTGACTTATATAGACTCCAATAATCCCTTTCTTTGGAGAAGAAGATGACACATTCTCCTTCAATCCTGCCTTGTCTGTTGGATTTTCCCCAAGATTTCTCTAACGCTCCCTTGATCTCAGCTCATGAGCTATTAGATTTACCTAGCTGGTACAGCTGAATCCCTTGAACGTAGACTACGATCACGATGTTTGGTTCTTATCTTGATCTGACAAGACCCTCCTGCTCGGTTATGCTGCCGACCTAATCCATTCGATTCGGTAATGACAGAGCTTAAACCCTCACGTGGCTCCCTGTGTGATTGTTTACACGTGGCATGATTTTATGCCCCCTTCATGTTTAAATCTCCAAATTACTCATAACATATATTTAAATTATCTATTCTTTATGTATAAATATCAAAATTTATGAAACTTTTTAACTGACTATGTTACCCATAAAAATTATATGCATCATTATAGTTTTCAATAAAACGTTAAAAAATTTTCAAAAATTTCATCAATCTAACATTACACATTTCAAATATAAAGATAATATTATGCATACATATTTATATTTTTTTATCCAAAATTTTAACCATTTCATTTTTAAAGTAAAAAAGAATATTTCACGTAGTTTTTGTTTTAAATAATTTATATTAAATCAACATAATTCTTTAATCATAGTAAACTTTTCATGTTTTATTAGGAGTTTATATAAAAATAGATTATAACGCATTTTTAAGTAAAACTTAAATTTTATAATTTTAATATTCTTTTAAACTATATATTATATTATATTTTAGTGTTAATAGCACTTGTAGTCCTTAAAATATGCATATTTTATCAATTTGGTACCCAAAGAATTTAATTAGTGTTTAAATGATACATACACAAATAGTCTGTAATGTTTTTGACATAAATGATCATGTATTGGACATATGATACTGTTTGAAGTTTTGACATGCGTTCACTTTCGTCAAAAAAATTTGATGGACGATTTAAACAAGTATTGAATATTGTATGGACAAAATCCTTATATTGAGCACTAAATTGATAAAACATGCACACTTTAAATATCAAAAGTGCTATTAAACCTATATTTTTATCCATATTGATTTAACTAATATCTATAAAATAAAGTAGCTTACAATTCAAATTTCAAAAAATAAACAAAATGACTTTTGCTTTTCGCGGTTGAAATCGCTTTAAATTTTATTTTAAAGTTAATCTGACGGCTAGTATTAATACCTCAAATTTAATAGGAAAAATATGTCATTAAAGGTGTGTTTAGAGTGATTTTTTACAAATACTTCTAAGAATTACTTCTTATAAATACTTAAAAAAAAATAGTGTTTGAAACTGTCCGACTACTACCTCTACCCCCACCACCCCCATAGCTCCACCACCATCACCACTGCCACCACCACTACTACCATCACCACCACCTCTACCTTGAGCACCCCACCACCACCCTCACCACAACCGTCGCCGCCACCATCACTATTACCACCCTAACATACCCACCACACCACCACCACTGCCGCTACTACCACCTTACCACCACCACCACCATTTTCATTCCCCCACCACCATTGTCCATCACTACCACCACCACCACACCATCATCACTACCACTATCACCACCACCACCACCGCCCTATCACCACCATCCTCACCACCACTGCTGCCACCACTGTCACACCCTACCACCACCGCCACTGTCCCAGTATTACCCTTACCACCTCCACTGTCCCAGTATTACCCTTACCACCTCCACTATCACAACTGCCACACCTCCACCCCACCTCACCATCATTGCCCAACTGCCACCACCATCACCATCGCCACCCACCACCAATTGCTAGCATTGTCGTCCATTGCCACCACCCACCACCAACGTCATCTTATTCTTATATTTATTATCATTATCACCATCATCTCACTACCACTGTCGCCCACCGTTAGCACTCATCGCCACCAGTTACTGTCACCTACCCCCACCACACCTACCATCACCAACCACCACAACCTGTCATCGCCCACCACTACAGCCACCCACTATCACCTACCTCCGCCACACTTACCACCGCCGTCATTCGTCACTACCCATTGCCACCCACTACTGTCGTCGTCCCACCACCACCACTGCCAACCACTATCATCGTCGTCCACCATCACCCACGCTCACCACCACCGTTGCCACCCACGACTGCCACTACAATCATCGTCACTCAAAACCCACCACCACCATCATCATTTTCACCCATAGCTGCTATCACCACCATGGTCGTCGCCTTACCCACCACAACTATCACCACCTCCCACCATCACTACTGTCGCCCACCACCACTACTACCGCTAACCCCCACTACAATCGGTACTTAATTTTTTTTTCTCTCCTCTATGTTTGTGATTTGATTTTGGATGTGAATACGAATAAGGTGACAATTTTTTTTATAAAGGCATAGAGAATAACTAGTCTAAGTATAGTAAGCCCTGACTAGAATATTGATAAATATTTTTATTTTATTTAATGTATTATAAGTTGACAAAGAATCAAATGATTTTCAAAAGAATTATTTTTTTTCTTATATTTAGAACAACGAATCGCTGGAAAAGACAATTTTTTAAATTCTATAGTATAAATGAGTGATAAAAACACAATTTTGATAAATTTGAAATGATATTTAATTTAGATACACATATATCTCATACTCTTTATTAATATTTATATATAAAAATTATTCACGTATAATACACGTAGTGCAAAAAGAGATTTTTCAGAATATAAAGAAGGAAAAGGCATATGCCCCCTTATCAAACCCTTTCTTTTGGCTTCCAATTATTCTAAGCATAAGGCACAATCACCGTGGCATATAAAACGATCATCAATCTTTGAACTTATCGACAGGCCAAAAAAACATATATATCAATGAGTAATGTTATTCGGATCGAAAAAATTGATCTAATTTACTGATATAATAAAGTGTCAAATAATAAAATCTTAAAGGTAGAAATTCAACCGTTACCATCACAATAATAATATTAGAATATATCACCGTTACATCATTATATTAGCAAATTAAATAGTACAAAATTACTTATACATGATAGATAGTACAAAATTCCAGCATTTGGTACACATTAAAATTATCGTCAAACCATGAACACTACTAGTACAACTTTTGACAGCTTGAAACAGCAGCTACAAGATCAGATTTACACATCTCTAAGTCATCACCATTGTCTATAAATACTGTTAGATTGCTGAAGAACTTTATAAAGCAACTGAAGGAGACCTACAAAAACTTCTATTAATTCTCTTCTTCACCTTTATAAGGCATTAGAGCTATGGCTTTTGGGGTCTCAGTTGCAACATGTGCTGCTTGTTTTGCCATTTTCACTCTCATGGCTGTTGTTATCGCACATGAGGGCATGCCAGGTATGCCTGGGATGGCCATGCCCCCAGCAGCATCGCCACCGACCTCTCTCGGCAGCCTCACTAATTCTTTGCCCTCGGAAATGCTTGGACTCCTTTCTTTGATTGCTTCATTTCTGATGATTAGGGGAAGGGTTTAAATTCTCCTCCTCTGTATATCTGTGGGTTTGGTTCCAGCTTGTTGTGTGCTTTTGTTGTCTTGTCTGCTTAGAATCTGTTTCATGGCTTGCCCCCCTGGTTTTCTGTATGCTTCTGATTTGGTCCAATCTCTTATTATAGATGGTGGTTGTGTTCAATAATTTTTTGTGTCTATCTAGTAGCTGCTGCCCTGATGAGGAATGCTAATAGGACTTCAAAATTGATTTAATTTATTGATCCATTACCGTGGCAGTGACATATTCCAATTCTGTCTGTAACTTTTTGACTTCATCATTGAAACTATATCACTTGATAAATTATTATGCCAACAAATTAAATTAATTTTTTAAGTTCGAATAGCATGACTCGGTCCTGATTGGCTTAGTGCATATCAATAAATAAAGCACCATAGCAAATAACTAAGGACCAATTCATTTCCAGAAAAAAAAATGAAAAATTGTGAGAAAGTACCTTCTAAACTACTTAATTGTGAGAAAATACCTTGTTATAAATTTTTTGTAGATAAGTAATCGCAATTGAAAATGTATTATATCTAGATACACATTGACAGTTTTTAAAATTTTTTCTTTACTAAAATATCATTTTCTATAATTCTTCGACATTTTAATTTGACAGTCATTTTTTGTGCGATTTGTTTTATTATATTAAGAGTTTCCTTTTTGAGTAGATTATACTTCAACGGCTGGTGTAAATCTTCAGATTTTATTCTTTTACGACAATGTTTGTTGTTCTTCATCAACAATCCAAGAATTGACACAAATGAAAACTTCAACGGTTGTGTATAACGTCAAGGGCATGGTTTTGCCTTTTTTTTTTTCCCTCATGTTTATTAGCAGATGTTTTTTTGAAATCAAAACAAAACGAGAATTTTATGTGATTTTTTTTTTTTGTTTTTTGAAGTGTGTTCTACATCTTTTCGTGAGCATACATCTCTTACCATGTTTCATTGTAGTTTGCGAAAAGAATTTGGGTCAATTTAAAAAAAAAATTATCAATGGTTTGATGTATACTAATATATCAATAATTTTTAACACACAATTTTACATGTATGATACGTGTATCCATTTAATACCATAGTGTAATGTCACTATAACAACGTATAATATTATTATTTTGTTTTCACATAATGTTAAATTTATTTATGACATGATACGTGTATCCGTATAATGTCACTGTGACAATGTATAATTTTGTTGTTCTGTATTCATATAAGTATTAATTTTATTTGTGTCAATTCAATTTTTTTTATCAATGGTTTGATATATTCAAGTATATCAATAATTTTTAGCACGTATAATTTTAAATGTACGATACACGATACATGTATCCGTGTAATGTCACAATGTAATTTCACTGTGAGATATTGTTTTATTTTTCGGAATCTTGTGTGTTTAATTTGGTTGTAACACAAGGATTTTGTGGTTTTTTTGTTTAAAATTCAAAACCCTTGTTTTGTGAGAAAAATCAATTGCCAAATTTAAGGGGATAGGTGCATGACTTCCGACTATTTTCCAAATCCACTCCTTGCGCAGGTTAGTATTACTTTGTGGGTATTCACAAAAATAAGGGACTTATGTACAAAATATTTTTTATTAAGTACTTTTACACAATTAAGTGCTAAATTAAGTATCAGCCTTCGGGAAAAAAAAAAAAACCCCAAGGACCAGCTTGGAAGAGCCACAAATTTATTCTGCGGTGGACCTGGGGGTGTTCATTGATTGGGTTGGGCTAGACCCGTAAATTTTTTTTTGGGTTGGATCAGAGTATCGTAGGCCCATGTCCTTACCCGTGTGAGTTGTCAAACATATCGGGTCAAATTTCGGATAAAGATAGACTACCTGCTGCCCAACCCGCTACTCACTGGGCGGCCATGTTAGGTGAATTTTTTTTATATACACATCTTCATTTATAAAATACTAACAATTACCCGTGTTTGAAGGTACTATATAATCCAAAAAATATCATTAAGAAAACTGAAAATCCATTTGAAAAAAATTCAACATCTGTAATGCCTAAAGTAGAGTTGACAATCAAACAACATTGTGTTATTTTGGATTCATGTAATCATGTAAAAATGACGTGATACAAATACAATTCGCTTATAACACTGATAATCAGAGCATTACTCATGTAACATACTTAATAAAGGGTAAATTACACTTATATTCCCTAAACTATCACATTTTTTCACTTTGCCCCATCAATTACCAAAATTCTCACATTGCACCCTTAACTATATCATTAGTTTTACATTACCCCAATAATTAATGTCCAATTGAATAAAAAAAATCAAACACAACTAAAATAAATCCATAAACACCTATATAGAGGGAGATACACATATAGAAAATATAAGGAAATCCCTAACGAAAAAGTATGACTACCGATTCTTTTTTTTTTTTGACCATATATGACTAACAATTCAAATCAAGAGAATTTTGTAGTAATCTCTTGAACTACCACCATACTTATTGTAAAAATTTGTTTAAGAAGCTACAAAGTAGAATCCTTCAGAAAAACCACCAGCAACAACGAAGTAGAATCCTATATAGAATTGTTCATGAAAACCAATCACTAGAACATTTAAAAAAAGAAAGTATAAAAAGGCACCAACAACAATGTTGAAAACATCACAACAATACCATCTGCCAAGACATTGGAATTGGGTTTTTAGTAGAATAGGTAAAAGCACAACCATTAATGTGGAATTAAAAGTTCCAATGTTCCATAATTCCATTAGGAGATAGACTTAAGAATTTTGAGGCCAACAAAAACGGGGGCCTTTCTAATATATCTTTCTCTATTTGTTTCACCAATAACCATGAAAAAAGAAGGCAGTTTTCGCATTTTTTTTTGGCAATTTACACCTAAGAAAAAAACAAATCTGAAGTTTCCATGAGATTGTACAAATAAACAAATTACCATAGCCAATATTAAGTCAAGCCAACTCACTACAGTCAACATTGGGCAATCAAAACTAAATTGAAGTGATTTGGAATTCCATGAGGCATCAAACTGGAAAAGCTCATTGCAAGGATTTGGAATTTCCAACTGCAATCAAACTAAACCAAGGCGCATAAGTTAATAGAGATATAACAACCAACAATGTGAAAAGTAAAGTTTCCCTACTTTATCAAAAACTACAATCATGCAATCACAAATATTCCACATATTAAAGATCCATCAAAAGCACATATGATAGATATAGGTAGTTTCCAAATAAACTATGGAAAGAAGTCACCTTACATCAGTAATTTGAGCAAGGAAAATTCTTTATCTAAGACATTTCAACAAACAACTTATGTGCATACGAAGAGAATGTGGATGGTGATAGAGGCTAGAGGAAATTGACAAAGAAAGAGGCAAGGGGATGAGTAGATAGTGAGGGAAGGAAGAGATACCTGGTGTCGTTGGCGGGGCAGTCGCTACAAGTTGTCAATGGTGCTGGCTTTGTTGTGGTCATTAACACATAAAAACATAGCTTTCCAATGACCAAGACCACCCCCATTTTGTCAGTGTTGGTCTATTTGTTTCACTCACCAAGCCACATCAATGCTTTCACATTGTTGATGTTGATGAGTACGGAGTGTTGTTAGCCTGGGCTGAATTACAAAGAATGTGACATCCCTAAAATCAGGGGTCATTTTTCAACCATTGACCACCCGTCAACCCACGGAAATACCTGTAATTGTCGCACAACCCGACATTACGTCTATCACATCCCCTTAACCGGGATTATAACTCACAAGTTTAACTCGTGTATGTTTTACCATTTGGCCCAATCAAAGTCCAATATACTACAATTTATACTCATTTGATGTCCATTTATATCCTTGAAACCAAAGAACACATAGCCCAAAAGCATGACAATGCATTCTTAAAATTTTAAATTTTTAATAAAGTTACCAATAGGTTTTTATGGACCTACCAGTAGGTTTTGTTCACTGAAAAAGTTCTACTGGTAGGTTTTAACAAACTACCGGTAGGTTTTACTTACTGAAAAAATTCTACCGGCAGTTTAATGTTCTACCAGTAGGTCTTGCCCTCTGGACAACACTTATCTGTACTAGTTCTACCCGTAAGTTGATGTTCTACCAGTAGGTTTTGTCTAGAAATGTCTGTTTCATATGTTTTTCATTTCCTAATCTATTCAAAACCATTCCAACACCATCCAAAACATGTATGATGATGTTTATCACATAAAGCTCGATATGTACAAGTTCTATTACAATCTATTTACACGATTACATGCTCACAAGCATAATTTTTTTACAAAGATTACATAAAATGTGCTACAAAAGCCACAAGTCGGCTTTTCTTCATCTTGGAGGCCCCGAATGAGAGTCCTCTGTCGGTACAAATCCCGCACTTGAAATGTGTTCCCGTATAGGGTCAACTACGCTCAATAGAGTATCCCTTACAAAGGCTACTCCCCAACCTAAGTGCATATGAAACGTGCACATGCAACAATTCCCAATTTATAACATTCCTATCAAGAATTATGCATTCAATGTTAGGATCTTCCATGCCATGTCATGCAATGAGATGAGACTCACTCCCGCATCTTAACCTGAGCCTTTTCTGGTTCCTCAATACATGCAATTTGCCAATGTGTATAAAATCGAGCTTTTCTAGCTCCCACTATTTACATTTCTCATTCAATGGCTATTTAAAATCTCCTGGTCTTTATTGGGGTGGATATTTATGGACTTACACCAACAGCACCCAACCGACACGGAATTCATGGACTTTCACCAACGGTTCCGCGTACACCAACACGCTTCATGTGCTCTTATACCAACGGAGTGCGTATCCAACCATCGGGTCTCTCATCCGAGGGATAGTCTAGCCCTTCTTGCTACCTCGACCAAATTTTCATGCGACCGTGCGACTCAGCCAAATTTTTAGTCTAACTTTCTCGAGCCCACCCATCATCCACCTAGTAGGGTGTTTGACC